TCTTCTTCTCTAGGATTTGCTTTTTCATTTCTGAGAGCTTCTTCTATTATTTTTTTTGATAGGTTTTCTAATAATTCGTCGTATTTTTCTACCGGTTCCGGTTCAATTAATAAATCAAGCGCATATGTAGGATCCGGCTTTGTTATATACAAAGAGTTTGCGTTATCACAGAACAAATCCAAACATTGATTGGGGACGTAATTTATGTTTGTTGAATAGCCGTTATTGCTGAGATGTAATTGTTCAAATAGAAAACTTACGCTACCATGATCTCTTGAGTTGCGGTAACTACGTTTCGGGCTATTCTGTCTGCTATAAACGGAGGCACTTTCTGAGCAAAACAAGCCTTTGAAAGCCATAAAACAAACCCTAACACAAATTTGTTGGTTTGGACTAGCATAGATGTTTATTTGTTATAAAAATTATACTGCAATACACATTAGATCTTGGGACATGACCAAATATCTTATTTGAAAAAATACAGTTATGTTTAAATAGATACAGTGTGATTTCTTGGCTTGTTGAAAAGTGACTGAAACGAATCCGAAAACAATGTCGGAGACAGCCCAAATAACATTGGAATGGGGATTTTTTCCAAATTGATCATGCTTTCCCAGTTGTACACAAACTGACCTATTGAAAGGCCTAGAGCGAGTTGTCTCCTGTTGGCGTGTTTACCCATCCAGCCAGCGTTTATACCAAAATTTTTAGTACTAAAGCGGCCCATGAATTCAGGATTTCCGTCTTCGCCAAATCCGAACCCGGCAGTAACTCTGGCGTTTTTTCCGTCGCCAACTCCAATTATGTGTTCCATGGCTTTTGACTTGTTGTCCGGCATGTCAGAATGGAAATAAACGTCCCAATTCTTGCTGTTAATGCCGGGAAGCCGAGTCGAGATGTCGACAATGCGATTGTCGACGTCGAGCTTTCCTGCCGCGAAACGGTTGCCAATACCCACACCGGCCGAATATCGGTTGGACATGATATCGGAGCCGACGTTGACAAACTTATCCTTCCAGTTGATGAAAGCTTCAGTAGCTGGTTTGGCTGAGTCTTTAAGAATGTGCTGATCAAAATCGTGTCTGACACCAATTTCTCTGTCCTTGTAACGAACCTTCATACCGTAGTTTCTGTCTAAAGCGTTAGAAAGAGTTCCAATCGTGACGTTGGGTGTTTCGATGCTGAGCCCCGTTGCGTCCTGGTCGTTTTCTCGGTAAACGCGCAATCCATAGCCTTTGACATTGATAGCTTCGTCAATGAAATCTTCTCTTAGATTGACTGTGGAGCTCACGCTGAATTTGTTAGGCCGAGCAACGTTGAAGCCTACCTCACGGTCTGCAATGTCCACGTTTCCTCCAGCGCTAAACTTTCCTTTTTTACCTAAATGAACGCCAGTCATTCCAGAGTTTAAGTCTTTCATAATTGTTGCATAATGGTCACGCAACGCAATGTCTGACTTTACTGAACTTATTACTGAAGGCCCAAACTTATATTTGGAATTGATGTTATCGTCACTAGCCAGGTGTGTTTGAATGTTTATTGTGTCAAGCTTTTTGTTGCTGTTCATGTTTAATGACGTCTTGATAGCACTAACTAAATCCGGCTGTTTCAAATGCTGAATCCTGTCAAACAGCTGACTAGGCAGTTCTTCTAACTTCCGTTTTTTTTGAAAACCCGTTTCCCGCATTAGTCTATCACTTCTTTGAAAAATATTACTTCGACGAATAGGAAAATGATTCTCATCTGATCCTGGTATTCCGTCAGCGTAGTTATTCTTGTAAAACGGCAAAATAATAGATTCAACAAAATTGTGTTTCGGACCACTTGAATTTGAAACAATAAACAGATAGATTTCAGTACCATTTTTTAAAAACAATACCGTAGCTTTATTCTGGTCCTGATTGCTTTGTAAATAATTTATTCCTATTAAAGAATTGTCTAACCACTTCTCATTTAGATAAAAGTCATCAAAGTGAGTCTCTGAATATTGATAAGAAGCTGAAACTTCGAAACACTGTTTTTGTGCTGATAGTTCATTTAATCGAGAGAGATCATTTTGAGTCAAATCAGTCACCAATATATAATCAAGAATTGAGTACGAATCTAACGGTGGTAACCACTTCTTTCCAAAAAAAAACAATCTTTGACACTTTGAGCGTTTGCAAATTGATTTAACTAGTTGCAAGTCAACTTGATCATTGCTATTGAAATAAATTAGATAAGCAGATTTACTGTCACCAAACAAATTAGATATGAATGGTTTTGTTGATTCAACCGTGTTAAAAAAATGTTTTTTATCTATAGCGTTATTTGAGTTGTTTTGCCTTGAATTAGTAGGAAGAAATAATATCCGATCGCTATGGATAACAAAACTAGAAGTATCTGATATACATGGTTGGAAGACCTTGAAGGAAGAAACAAATATACTCGAAGCAATAAAAAAAAATGACTTGAAATACATTTATGTGTTAGATTATGTTTTTCTTTCAAGTTTATGGTATTTCTTAAGTACAATAAATTTCCCAAAAAACATGAAAAGATATTAGAACACAGATTAACTGAGCTAGTGCTGAGAAAAACATTCAGCTATGGATGTTTTCTAATTGTTAAACACTGGTTATTAGTGTAAATCTGATTGATTTTCTTAGTTTCAATTTCAATATCCTTGCAAAAACTAATATCTGCCAACATATTCTTTATCGTTTCAGGAGACATAAAAGCTGAATCGCGTTTTGATGAAAGAAGTTGTTTCATAAATTCTTCTATGTCACAAGTCCTATGAATGTTGTCCTTATGCAGGCTTCTTGGAAGTTCAAAGTTAGTAAGACTGAATTCCATATCAACTTTTAACTGAGCGTCTGGATCATTGTTACTCTTAAAAGTCCACCATTTTCGAACTTGTTCACATATTTCTATATGAGTCAGTTTGTGCGTAAATTGAGCTGAAGTCGCAGTATGTTCAAGACAAATGACCAACACGGGGATTTGTGCATTTGTACTTGTTAAAGGCAAATAGTTCAAAAATTGGAATTCACCAACTTTAATAGCGCATTTAACTATTTCACCATTGAAAGAAGAATTTTCAAAATAACTCGTCATTGTATAATCTTTAACGTTGTAGTTGCTAGTTTGAGTGGCTTCAGAATTTTTTATGCTAAAAACTTTATAGTAAATACGTGGAAAATCTACATATTGACCTATCATTTTTTGTAATATCTTATATTGAATTACAAACGGATCGCTCAACGTATTTGCTTTAACTTTGTTTGGATTAGGCAAATATATTGGAGCGTGATCTCCTTTTAGCCAGTTCAGCCCGTGGTACCCGATGTGATCTACTTGACAAACCGGAAGAGGTAATTGGTACATAGCTTCGTCAACCGAAATTTCTTGTAGCATGCCTTTGAGTATAATTTCTAAAACCATACATAACCTTGTATCAGTAAATTTACATGAATTCAAAATCACAATTATAAGCTGTAACAATGACTTGTAGTTAGCGTCTTTACTAAAATTTCCAATATTGACATCGGACTTGATAAATGGCACATGCATCGTATAGTCGGTAATGCAAATAAATGCCTCAACTATTGTGTCAATCTGTACATTTAGCTTTTCAAAAAAAATTTTAATCTCTCCGTCTCTTGAACGGCATACATCATGCAAATATTTGCTGATTCGCTTAATTAACCTGACATGTGCCTCTAAAGCTTCTTTAACGTGATCTATCATCAAAGATGTCGCACGTATCTGTTTGACGAGAAAACTGTTTTCCTGCTTTATTTCATTTAATAAGCTTCGGTAAAAAATTATTTTGTCCTCCCACTTATTTTTTACTTCAAGTTCCTTCTCTAACAACAAATTAAGCTTTAGTTTCTCTGATAATAACTGGGATTTTATCATAAAACGCAATTGCACCTTGCATAATCATAAAGCGTGACCTATTAATTTTTAGAATAATAGTTATTTGCATTGAATTTCATGTATAAGCGTTAAACTACCTAGCCATGTATTATGCGAACTATCATTGAATTTGGCCCATGAACCAACTTTTTCTATTGTTTTTATCATATCTGTTGCGTTAGCTAAGGTTTTTATATTAGCTCAAGAGTTCTATACTATATGCAAAGGATAATATTCTAAGTTAAACTTTCATTTTTCCTCACTAGACAAAGTATTAATGGTTTAAGCCATTTGCGTAAATGGCAAGATAATCTTTCTATCTAAGACACAAAATATAATATAAAGATGTAACTTTCAATTGATAATGATTGTTCAGTTTTATATAATCTGATTTTTCATATTGGCTGAAAGTTAATTGAGGTTGTTTTAAAAACTATACATTTTCAAATGAGACTAATTTATTCAGTTTTTTTACTGGGCCGTTAAGTTTAGAAACTAATTTTTTTGGTGTTAGACTGACCTTAGCTGCTTTTTTAACATCCAACACTTTGGCGTTGTCTAGTGCTCTAGTAAATTTTGATTGAGAGACCTCTCTGATGCCTTTTTTAATAATTTTAGGACTAAACAGCGGTTTAGTTCGCCCGTTTGTTGTTAACTTCAGTTTAGGGGGTATTTTCCGTTTAGAGATGGTATTGAGATTTTTTTCTACAATAGGTGATTTCATAGATCTAGTCACTAGATCGTCTTTAGCAACAGGCTTTTTTCCAAGAGTCTTGCTAATTAATAAAGATTTTGTATTAGAATCAGAGCTGTGCGTTTTTTTAATATTTTCAAGTTTTGAGCTACTTAATTTTGTTTTTGCGGCACGCTCGTTGCTACTTTCGACTATAGTTTCAGAAATTTTTTTAACGTTTATTGCGTTCTCGGTCGTGTTATTTTCTTCACCGATAAGTGGTGCTTTGACTGTTGTGATAAAACTTTTTTTTATTTCTACTAATTTATTACCACTTCTTGTATCAAGCTTTTTAATTTCTAATGTTTTAGTTCTCTTTGTCATTTCAGCAACTGATTCTGTTTGAGAATTTAACTCTGGTGATTTAGAACTAGACAAAGATTTATTTAGAATTTTAGTTTGTTTAAATGTAACTGCGTCATTATCATGAGTTGACTTAGAAGTTTTTTTCGATTCTGCTGGAACCGGTGTTTTAAGAGTCATCGAAGCTAGTTTTTTTTTAGCTTTAGTATTTTCATTTGGCTGTTTTATTTTTAATGCTCTGGAAACTGGTGCTTTAAAGTTAACTTTATTTTCTGGCGAAACATTTGAAGATAAAGTATTAGTTACTTTTTTGCTTAATAAAGTTTTTTTTATGAAAGTTTGAGCCGATTTTTTAGTTTGACCTAATGTTGCATTCATTGTAGACACAGAACCTGGCTCTTGACTAGAATTTATTAATTTATCAGAGTTAAGTTCTTTTATTCCGCTTGTTTTTGTTAATAATTTTTTTTTAGTCAGTTGATCTTTAGATGTAGTAGTTGATATAGCGTCTTCTGATCTAGATGAAGTAATATTTAAAGTATCAGTAATAAAAACATCTTGTTTCTTGTTATTAGCATCGGATGTTTTAAAGACCATATCATTAGTTTGATTATGCACTAATAAAGATTTTTTCGATATTAATGGAGCTGATAGCACCGACGAGGAAGTTTTAACACTATTTTCTTTATTTAGTGAGTTAACTGGAAACTGATCTACAGTGTTTGGGATTTCAATTTCTGATTTGCTTATACTACCTGAGCTCTGAGCTTTTTTATTTAACAACTTAGTTGATACTTGCGTTATACTATCTGTTTTCTTAGTTTCTATAAGAATTTTATCATTCATTTCAGCTGCCAGAGTTTTTGATTCTGTATTGGTTTCTACTTTTGTTTCATTATTTTCTGGTTTTTTAAACGATACAGAACTGTTTGGAATTGATTCATTCCTAGCTTGACTCGATCGTTTATCTACATCAACATTTGCTTTATCAGAATTGAGATCATTTTTACTAGCGTCACCCGGTGAAATACTTTTATCATTTTCTGGTATTTTATTTGGTATAGTCCTTTTTGTAGTATCATTTTGAGTATCAGATTTAGTTATATCAGGTTGTGTTGATTTTAATGAAATAGATTTTTTAAGTGTTACGTGTTCTTTAAGTGATTGGTCTACTCTATCATCATTTTCATTGGGCTTACTTTTGAGATTATTTATCGATGATTTCACTGCCTTTAATGATTTGCTTTGTTTCAATTTACTCATTGGGATATTAAAATCACTAGTTGTTTTATTTTTCAAGGATAACATTTTAATTAGATTCTTTGCTCCAAACACTTTATGTGAATCTCTATCTTCTAAAAGTTCTCGTTTTTTGGCATCAATTAATTTTGTTTTATTAATAGCTCTAAGTCGTTCAATGCGAGCTACGCTCTCAGCTAGAATTTTTTTATTTTCGGTTTTGGGTTTAAAATTAGCTGAACTTTTTTTAATATCAAATGTAGTGAACTTTTTAGTTAAATCCTTACTAATTGCTGCTTCAATAGCTTCGTTTTTCATAGCAAAACTAGTTTTTCGTAACGGATCAGGCTTAGATGTTTTAGTTGCAAGGTTAAATTGGGTTGCTTTATCTTGGATATCTCCCTCTTTAACACCGCTGCCATTAATCATTTTTCTAGTAACTGGAACTGCGGTTACTTCATGTTTATCTGTTTGAACACCAAAATTTTGCATAGGCACTGATGCGTTAATAGGTTCTAAATCAGGTACCTCGATATTTCGCTTACCTGGTTGATTAAGGTTCATTAGTAAATTTAGGTTAGCTGGATTCGGATAAGAACTATAGCCAATATTAGAAACATCATTCATCATGTTATTGGGAGCAATAAACTCTTGTTCAGGGAGTGGTTGTTTAAAAGGTTTTCCAAACAAGTCGACATTTTCTTTTACTCTATAAGCTAACAGAGCCGAGTTTCTCGGAATTGGAAACAAGTTTAATAAAATAGTTCCAACGATATTGTTATTAGAAACTAAATTGTAGCTGTTGTACTGCAATAAAGTTGCAGGGTCAACTAGAGAAATTTTTGCAGTTAACGGCGGACTTAGTAAATTATTTGTGTCGTATACAGTCACTATAATAGAAGAGTTATATCCATTCTTCGATATATCAAAATTATCTAGATCAATAGTTTGACGAATTATGGCATTTCCTTCGTTACTGAATAACCAATCTTTCGCTATACGATTATTGTTTTTGATAATTTGTTCCTCATCTTCATAATCATAACGACATGTACAAATTGCTATTCTACTCGCTGGTATTGATTCTGGGTTTGTAATATTTATTTGCCCAAATTCAATAGACATTCCGGTTAATCTAATATTAACATCACCTTTATGAGTATTGTTTGTTAAACAAGCCATTGCTTGTTTAGCAATTAAATTTGCTTTTATAAACGCAGCGTTCTCTTCGTTTGTTTGAAATAAATTTCTGATAAACAAAGGAATATCGTTACTGACAGCCCATGGATAAACACCCCGTTCAACAAGTTCATTAAAAGAAGGCGGTGGGGGCAATGAAATGTCTGTCGGTAAAGGCTTAATACCGGCAGCTACTTCAAGAATAACGCCAAACAAACCATCTATTCTAGGATCTAAACTACGGCAAGGATACAAATAGTCAAGTAATAGTCTCACTTTTTCTTCTCCAGTTTTTGGAGGTGAAAAAGCAAGATTACCACAAATACCAGCTAACGATTGAGTTAACGTATCTAGCTGAAAATATAATAATTGAACTCTTTCGAAGACTTCTTTGATTTGTTTTGGATGATGAAGGGTTGCTTCTATTCTTTTTTCTAAAATAGATAAATCTGAGTTTGCTTGTTGAAGTTCATGTTGAACTTTTTGGTACTCATTTAATAAATGATAATTTTGCGTTTGCAAATTTTCTCGTCTTTTTTTTTCTCTCGAAAATAGCAAAAAATAGAACTTAGCTTTCTTTTCTAGTTCGCTGTTAGCTACAACTTTGCATTTGTTCACAACGTACCATTTTCAAAAATTGCTACATTAGTTTTTTCAGCGTAATTTGTTCGTATTTTAGGTACATTATTAAGTTTATGAGCTGTTCTGGCGAAACTTGAAGCTTTTCGTCCGATCATACTCATAACATTAATTATAACGAGCTAGTTAAGATTAATCTGCTCATGTGTGCATACGCACCAATTTAAATTCATATATTATTTTAAACATAATGATATTTGCATTATTTATTAATTAGATATCTGTATCAAATGTTAAGATCAATACATATCAACAAACTTGCAGATTAATGATATTCAAAAAATTAATTTTATTGAATTATATTGCTTTATTTAACAACGTGGCGCTCGATTCGACGATCACATGTGAAGTTGACGTTTGGAAAAATAGAACTTTAGCAGAATCCGGTAGCAGTATCAATATTATCGTTCCATTCAAGTATAAAAAATTTGAAAATTATTTAATTAGTTTAATTGTTAAAAAATTGCATAAAATTGCAAATAAAATAACTAGCTTCCCGTGCAACTCTTTCGTTTGGAAGAATGAAATATATAAATTTTTTTTAGAGTATATTTTTAAAAAATTTGAAAATCGGTTTTATGAACTTAAAGAAGTGAATCCAATCGAAATAAACAAAGCCCTTTACGAATTATCATTAGCTATAAACGAATATTCTAAATTACTTATCAATACGAAGTGCGAACTATTAAGCAAAAGTATTCGTGTAGAACTATTAGAATTTATAAAATTAATTGAACTGTTAAACAACCTAGAATCAGTTGAATGATTAAAAGTAGAAGTAATGCAAGCAGATAAACAAACCCATTTACTCTCTCCTATTTATACAACACAACAAGAATATCTATGTCCGATTTGTGCGGAGGAAATGGACGAGAGTGATTACTCTTTTTTTCCGTGCAAATGTGAATACCAATTGTGTTTATGGTGTTTGAAAAAAATAAGAGATTCAAACAACAAGTGTCCTTTATGCAGAGCTTCGTATGACCCTCAAAACTTCGTTATTGTGCCTTCGAGAAAGATAATTCGAGTTTTGAAGAAGAAATCAAATAACTATGGAAAGCAATCAAAGGCTGCCGAAGAAGATCAGTCGCGAAACGCATTTAACACTCCAAAATCGCCAATCATAGAAAACACTATGGGTAATCCCACTAGTACGATCACCTCCACCCCAGGAGCTCGCCGCTTATTTATTTTTCGGTTTTGGCATTTATTATCTAAATGGTACAATGCTAAAGAGCTAGCGTCGTACAACTTTTTTGGCAAGTACGGGATGTTGACTTACGTCACCTGTTTGACCCATAAAGATCTTGACACGGCGTTTTTAATTTACCTAGACGAAGTCTCTATTCAGCTGCTTGAAAAAGACTTTGAAAAATTCTTGCGTCAAAACCCCCAGCCTCAATACAGCTTGATTCAATATCATTCTGGTAGTGCTCGTCTCTGTGTAAATACGCTTCGCAACATGGTTTGCCGGAACGAGCGTTGTACTTATTTTCATTCTTCCTTTGTCGCTAACGAGTCAAACTTCTGGAAGTGCACTCAAAAGAGAGAACGAACAAAATATTTAAGCAAGATAATAAACGATGACTCGATGCCCAGTTGTTTTTTGCAATCGTTTGAATCTATAGCTAAATTAATTAAATTACATTACAATGAAAATATTGACGAAGAGTTCAATAGAAGTTGCAGCAATAACGAGTCTGTGCAATCTTCTAAAAATACTGCGGATAATTCCAGCTATTATTCTGACATTGTGTCGTCCGACAAAAACGTAAACAGCGCGTCAACGCCTTTGATCAAGAAAAATCTGAACCCCGCCAAGGTCATCAGGACCCCGCAAAACACACATAAAGTAATTGAAGCTTTTTCGCATAAATTCAACGACATTCTCAACGATTCTTCAAATATCACGCTTGAACAATCCTTGGTATCGTGTATGAACATTTTAAAACAGCATGGACCGCACGATACCAAGTCACATAGTGTGTTGGCTAACAAAGATCTCGACTCTGATATTGACAAAACTTTGTCACAGGAAAACTTCACTAAAAATACTGACCAACTTAGGGAAGAAAACTTGCGAAACACTTTTGATCCAACTCTAAATATAAGCAACAATTTTAATAGCAAACATATTAATCAAGGCTCGTTATCAAAAAACATTGAGATGAAAGTTATTCCGGTACGCACACATATTAATTTGTCTGATTCGCCGTGCGACTATTTCGGCTGGTTCAAATCTGAAAATAATCTTGATGATTCTCGCGACGAAAATGAGTCTGCCGCTTTTTCAGAAAAAAATTTTCTAAATATTATAAAGAACAGTATAACGCAGCATGGCTCATTTGATAACGCAACTTTAGCGCAAATTTCTCGCGAGGAGTATAAAAAATTAACACATTAAAGTAGTTACAGCCTTGCAAATAAACTGAAGACCGAATGCTTCTGCATTGAAAAACTTTTTATTATTATATAAACTTTATTTTTATAAGTGACTAAGCTCACGTTAGAACCTTATTTGTAACAACTTGCGAACATTATTATGGATAGCGTTTCAAAATTTATTAAAACGAGCAACAAATCGGCGCGAAATAAACATCTGTGTCGTTTTCGTCCGTGCCGATCACGTCCAGACGCGCATAGTTTTGACTTAGAGTCGATCTTACGACAGCTTCAGACTTCGCCAGTTGCATCAAAGTTTCATAAATAGAAGTATCCAGTCGTTGTTGACTTGAAGACTCGCAAGCCATGTACAAACACATATTTCCTAACATTACGGCGCTGGTTTTAGTACTGTAACAAGCGAAGATTTCGTCTAGAAATTGTTTCATCGTCGTATTCTTAGTTAGCTTAATGTCTATGCGGTCCCAAATTGTGTGTCTTTCAGGAATGTATTTGACCGGGCCATACGTAAGTGGGTCAAAGTCTGTATTTTTATTTTTGCCGACTTCTTCCGGTTCAGAAATGATGATGCTTGTGTCGATCAAAGACCCAAACATGTTTTGGAAAAGTTCTAACTTGCGTTCATTGGGGTCTGTTGTCAAAACCTTGACAAGTTCAATCATCACGAAACCAGCTACTAATGAGGTCGTCGTAATAACAGCCTGAACTATTTTTCCAGCAATAAATTTCACTTCGTGAAAAGACACGGTCTCAATATTATACGCTGTGGCTCTTAAGTTGCTCGCTGCATAAATGAACTTGATGTGGCAGTTCGAATCATCGTCTTTTTCAAACTCAATGGGTTTTATAGCGTTCAAACGACTGTAATCAGCACCATTTAAAGATTTGAATTGCTTGTACAACTGTGCTACTTGTTCATTTTCAAGTACCGAGTCTATTCTGGTTTCCTTTTTCTTTTTGCTGATGTCTTGATTGATTTCTATGGTGACATTTGATGGTACAAAATCGTCTTCGCTAAGTGTTTGAAGACAGGATTTTAGCTTCGTAGCACAATAGCAATCAGTCATTCCGATAATGTCAAGTAACAATTTGACAGTAGCATAGATGAAATTAAAATGTAGTTCGTTGTTTATGTCGAAAGCAACAGGAGAAGGCTTTCGCTTATTTGCAGACCAGAAAAGTTCCCCGTCCTCTAATTTGTAATCGCTTGGGAAATTGTGCAGGAGTTGTTTTATGTTGTGGTTGAAAAACATAGTAAAAAACTTATGTGCAGTTTCACAGGCTAGCTGAAGTGTTTCATCTGTACTCGTCTTTGTTGCTGACATGAAGAAAACAAGCAATCTTATGTACAGTAATGCCTCTTGCGCAGAAAGTTTTTCTATAAGTTGCTGGCACTCAGATTCAGACTTCACTTTCTTTATGTCGAGCACGAAAGAATTGAATAGTGAATAAAACAGCTCGCGACTCCACTCAATAGTATGGTCAATTTGTGTCGGGAAGTGTCGTATTGTACAAAGAGGGATACTTTCTTCGTCTGGATCGGTCGACTGCGCATAAGATTTTGTCAAGTGTGGGATGATGGCTTGGACACTGCCTTTCAGTCCCAATGTTCCACTGTCAAGCAGTGGAACACCGTTCCAAACACATCGCGAATCAATGTAATTTCGCGATTTGATGTTATCGAGCGCGTTCAAAATGCAGGAATTTGATTTCCAAAACTCGTTAGAAAAAATATTTTCGGTCGACTCGTCAACCTTGTGACACAAAGCTTCAATATTTAAATCAGGATTCATTTCCAAAGCGGCAGAGCAAGCAACTTGGCTTTTACTTTTGCCAATATGTTCTCGATGAAAAAGAAACTGACGGTTTAAGTTGCTGATTTCAATTGAGTCCATATCTGTCGCCACAATTTTTCCTCCTTGTGTCGAACACCCTAGCAAAGCCAGTAGTTTTATCAGCTCGCAACCGATGGCACCTGTTCCCACCAAAAACACTGATTTGGTCTGCAATTCTTTAAGTTTTGTTTCACCAAGAATTTTAAATAAACTTTCATATCTAGACTCTGAAATACTCTGAGTATCAACCTTCGAATCGGGAACAACTTCACTGCAGTCGAAGAAAAACCACTGATTTAACGGAATGTACTTCCCTAAATACTTGATTGCTTCTTGCGAAGCGATGGCTCCAATTATGGTTGCAACCGGGAGAAATTCACAGTTGACATGCCTGGCAAGCTGCTCAAATAACTTTTTATTTTTTAAAGAATCGAGTATGTTTTTCCAACGGTCACTTTGATTTCTCAATTGACTTGACACTTTCTCAATGTTGGCCATTATCTCATTGGTGTAATCTTTTTTTCTGTCTAGCGCGTCGATGTTGGGTAACTGCAACAGTGCTTTCCAAAAAACAAACAAAAGTTCAGAAGAGTTTTCACGAGCCATGTTAACAGAGCCAATGTAGCTTTGCCCAGATTTGTAAAGCCTTTCGGCAAGTCTTTCGAATGGTTCAAAGCTTAGTTCGTCTTCTATAGGCAAGGTAGCAATATTTCCCGAAAATTGATATATTCCACTTTCACACTCCAAATCAATGTAGACACAGTCCTTTTTAACATCTTTAACTCGGAACACACCATTTTTTAATTTTTCATGTAAGACAGAGTTTTCAACGCCGGATAACGAACTAAATTTTATTTTGTTATTCACTTCAATTTCTAATCTAGAGTTAGCTTGAATACAAATTATAGATTCAGACTCATTTACGATAAGGCGCTCAATAACATATGATTTAGACTTCTCGCCGAGTTTGTCGTATATTATATGTTTGTCTCCAAAGTCGACAAAAATACTACCGAATAATCCGTAACTAAACGTAGAAATAAATCCTTTTTTAAATTTACGGCATAGTTGGTTTAAATAGATGTTTGTTTCGTTCAATTGGTTGCACGTGATTACCACATCAAAGTTATCAATGTTAGCTTCAGTCAGATCATCAGTAAAAATTTTTACAGAAACGAACGAACAAAGATTTTGCAACGCAGGTAATACTGCATTACTAATCGGAACTTTACCAACATGCTCTTTTTTGCAATAAAAGTTAACACCTAGATCTGTCCATTCTACAATCTTATTTTCTTTGATTGTAACAGAACTAGGACCAGTTAGAGTGATGTTTTTTGCTATTTCTATTCCCACCCCGTTTATTCCTAAAATGAACACACGCATTCTTGTAAGTTTGAGCATCGTTGTGTAGCCAAACGTGCCAATTTGTCTACTGTACAAGTTAAGAAATTCATCCGATCTCGGAATATCGGTTTTAGCATCCAAAGACATAGTTATTTAGCTATTATAAAAGATTATTATTCTATGATGGCTATGGTAACTATTCTTTCAAACTATATTTTCAGTAAATAAATTATTATTTCTCGGAGTGCAATAAGAGGAGAGAAGAAATGTCGGCGTTTTTGCGGACGTGGCATAATGGCAGCGCATTACCCTCCTAAGGTAGAGGTTCCGGGTTCGAGTCCCGGCGTCCGTTAACTTTTTTTTTTGTGTGATAAATTAAAAATGAGCCCAGAGTGAGTCGAACACTCAACCTTCTGATCTGGAGTCAGACGCGCTGCCATTGCGCCATAGGCCCTTAATAAAAAAAGTAGTGTATTGAAAACACTGGCAAATTTTTGTATTAAGAATGTTTTATTTTGCAAAATAAAATTTTGGCCTTTATGATAAAAAAATAAAATAAGCAATAATGTAACTATATTAATGAGATATGTCTTGCAGCCTCGACATATTAGAAAATATTATCATTAAATGTGAAAAGACAGAAGACACAGAGGAGCATTTGTCCGAATCTGAAGATTTACAATACACACGTCAGGAAACATCTGAAACTATAAATAGCTTGGACAATGAAGAAAAAATAGACTTACTCGAAAACCCGAAAATCGCGCGGAAAATTAATATAGATTTAGCTAGTACAGAATCGTTTCGAGTTCCTATAAAGCGTTTCATCACGCCTAAGGAATATGAAACAGCACTAAAAAAACAAAATACAGGTAATTTATCTTGGCTGAACCAAATTAGAAAAGAGGCCGCAGAAACAGGAGTTAAAGTTTCGGAACTAAATGCTGATTATGGAAAAGTTCATAATCCTAAACAGTTAAAGGTCCATCATTACGGAATTATGAATGAAGGAAAGCTACACAATTCAGTAGTGAGTTCCGTGGGTATATTTACCTCGGAAAATGGGGAGCATTTAGCATTCTCTGCTGGGCCGGATAAGACTCTCAGGTTATACCAGTTCAGCGAAGATAAACAAACACTTTTATGTGTAATATGTATCAAAAAAACGCCTGTGTGGTTGGCTACCTTCAGCTCTAATGGCAAAGGTATTTATTTTGTCTCTGATAACGCACATCTATACTACTTTGAAGTAGAATCAAAAAAAATTACAAAAGTGTCTAGGTATTATGAGCGTGGCCACGTAAAACAAATTAAGAAAATGGTAGCAAACGACGGCTATTTATATATGCTGGAAAAGCAAGGAAAGTTGTATCAAGTAGATGAAAAATCTCATAAATGCTCGAATGTGTTCAACAGCGGATCTTTAATAAAAGATTTTTGCATCGAGCCTGCTGAAAAGTTGATTGTAGCTGCTGACTCAGCTGGATACGTGTTCAAGTGGAAACCATCTTCTTCTCGATGCATTAAACGAGAAGAAATTAAAAACTCAATTGGGGCTCTCACCATTGGGTACACAGTTAACGGTTTTGTCATCGGAGACGCTGGCGGCGTTGTTTTTTTATTTGACCCATCAGACGTGACCAAATGTGTTAAAACCTTTCGCAACTTGAATGGGCCTCCTTTCAAAATGTTGACGCATCCAGAGCTTCCAATGTGCTTAGTAAGTAATTATAATGCTGAAAACAATATTAAACTATACAATACTAAAGAACTAATTACGTATGCTTCGTTTCCAGCGAAAAATACGTCATATGGAAAAATCACTGCTGCCGCATTGTCCAAGGACAATTGGCTTTTATTGGGCAACGAAAAAGGCGCTGTCCGTTTAATAAAATTTAATTATTGAATAATCATCTCCTTGCTTTACTTATTCGTTTTTTCTGTTATACAGCACCAAAAATATCTTTGAATTATAAATTAAAATTTTATAAATACAATTATCTGATAGATCCAGCGCTCCAGATCTCGATATTCTCCATAATCATTGTTAAACCTATAGGGTTTGACATATTTTTTTCTTTTGGATCGAGACTATTAATATAGCACTGTACTTCTTCCACTACTTCTTGCGATAGTTTTAAAGCTTCTTCACAAGCGCCTATTATCTCAAAAAGATAAACACTGTAATTCAAAATCAAACCAAGCCTAATTTCATTGTCAATGGGCAGCTGAGAACTGTGGTCATAACTCTTAGTGTAATACGAGCGAGCAAGCTTTATGAATTTTGCTTTATCGTCACCAGAGCTGCACTCACATAGGTATCGATAATAATCAGCAAGCAGTTTGTACAGAAAACATAAATATTCTACGTCAGCCAAAGCGGCAGAAGTTTCTAAAATAAAAACGACTTTATCCGTAAGCAGATTTTCTTTAATAAGAGCAATAACATCGGTACAATGTTTCATTAAGTCTCGCTGTGTTTGAGTGAGAACGTCTTTAACAAACTCGAAGCGTTTAGATGCCACCTCACACTCTAACAGTTGTACTTGTAGTTTGTGACAAGCTTCTCTGCTTTGTAAGGCCACGCTTTTAAATATTTTCCCCATACAAATATATTCTGCCTTTTTAAGCACTTTTCCGAACACACAAAACTCTGAAATTAGTTTGACACATTCTTGCAAGCGATTTGCGTTTTCAAAAGTTTTCCAAATGAACAACGAATCATTGGTGTTAGATATTTCTTCCGCTAACATGAAATTAATTCAGGATGGCAAAAAATAAGAAAATGAATTTAATTTTGAAATTTGATTGTCTCACTGCTCTTCAATTGGCGCTGTCCAAAGTGCTGAATAAAATAAAATGAAAAGCATGATACGTATATTTATTTTTCTACCTCAGTCTATGTTTATATCTACCAAAAAGCTACGGATTTTTGCATGTCTAGTAGCTTTTTCTTTTTCACGCGCTGCTTTCAGCTTATCTGAAGTGAGAGCGACACGCTGCTTATAAGCTGACACGATTCCTTCAAGGGTACGTTGCAGCAATTGATTATTCAATTCGAAATACGAAACAACAAAGCAACAAGTCAGATCGTAAAACTTTGAGTTTGGATTTAACGAATAATATTTTGAATAAGCTTTGGCAACAGAGGCTTCAATCCCTCTAGAAAACTCAATTATAAAACTTAATTTTTCATGTTTTAAAAACCGTCGAACAATGCCAAACAGTTTGAAATAATCTTGAGCTTCTTTGAGGATGTTAATACTACTTTTGTAGTCTAAATTTTTACTTTCATTGATTTCACAAAGCAAAAACCGATTTGTGAAGTTGTTAGCTAGATAAAATGCATCACTCAAGTTATGCACGTCGACATGGTTGAAATATCCTTTAAGTTTTAAATTGGTATTTGGCATTTTAATGTCTTTGTCAATAATAGCTAACATATTCGTTTTGTTTTCGTCAACTACGTTTTCCATCAGTTGCTTGCAACTAGAAACGGCAGAAACCAACTTTTTCGCGGATAACGTCTTGTTTTCAAAAACTTCACTATTTATTTTGTCCACAATACTCGTTACCAGCATGGGGTTACGCGGTTCGACAATTGCGATTTTATAATTTTCCGAGTCGAATACGCTAAGAGTCTTGACTTTGTCGTACCTTTCAAAAAAATTGATTATCTTGTTTTCATCCGTGTCAAATGGAAACCCAGTAATTACAATTTGATAAGAATGCACGTCATTTTGCATCAAAGCTTTGAAATCTTTTGACTTGCTCGTCAAACTATCTACAGCAGAAGATTCGAACGCTGTCGACGTAGTCATGAGCGAACTAAGCGTTTTGGCGCCAACTAGCGCTGAAATGCCACCTCTCAGTTGGAATTCATATTCTAATTGTTGACTTGCAAGTTTTGAGTCGTAGTCTTGTGGTCTTCTGAGTTTTAGTTCATAGTCTTGCAAAACAATTCCATCGAGACCTAGACAAAAAGTAGTTTCTTCGATGCTTCTCAACTCAATAAAAGCGTATCTCTTGTTAATATTTAGATAAGTTCCAATAACAGAATTTCCTGGAGGTTTGTTGGGCAGTAACGTATTGAGAGTATAGTTAAAAAACTGAGCGATAATAATTTCTTCGTTAATTGAGGGTGGAATATTTCCCAAATATATTTTTCTGGCGTGTTTGGTTGAATGATCAAGAGGAAGTGGGTTTGAAAACGCAATTCTAGAAAAGTCAGTAGACTCTTCTTTGTTAATTATTTTTTTATCATTAGTCATACAGTAATAGTCTTTTCATGTTTAAAACCAACAGTGTCGGTGAGAAATTTTTTTAATATTATATAACATTAATTGCATTCTAAAGGAAATTTAGTAAATATTTCAAAATAATTTTGGATAGTATAGTAAATGATTATCCCCTATTAACTAATGAATTCTCAAAAAAAGACGTGCCACGATACCATAATCGAAAACTGTGGGATAGATGATGCCACATTACGCAAAATCAAAAATCCTTGTTTAGACCCCAAGCAAAACAGTACTTTGGAAGATAGATTAGATTATATTTATTTTGGAATTCTCGAGCCAAATAACAACGTAGTTTTCCAGGACTTACTGGATAACTTATTTTTAAACGACGTGTCTCTTGATTCGACGAGTCGGGCGGATTTACTAATATCAATAAACAATTGTGAACTTTCTAATATTGCGAAGAAATTCATTTTAGTAATTCTGTCTCTGCTCAAAAATCTAGACGCACGGCCAGAGCTACTGATTACTACTTTTGAAACTATTACTGTGATTTTAAACACCTTATACGTGGCTGAAGCAAACACCATATGCAAGCTGGTCATTACGTTTAAATCGAAAATCAGTAAAACCTTACAAAGACTATCAGGGTCGGACATACAAATCTGCAATTCTTTAATCATTAGTACGGTCAATGCTGCTTATTTGTGTAGCATTGAACCGCAATACGCTTGTCCGTTTCTACATTTCGCGGCCTGCATGTATGAATGGCTGCCAATAAATTTTGGCGGATTACAAAATAAGTACAAAAACAAGCAGTTTACGTATTGCAACAATAAATTACCGTTTCAAATCCCCGTTGAATCTTTGTTAACGAATGAGTCAGTTGAACGTATCCGTTTCATAGTCGACACAAATTTAGACTCCGATAAAACGTTCAGAATACAATATTCAGAACATTATTTGGAGTTTCTGCGGACTATTGAATTCATTAGTGATACAAACTACAAGTTCAATTACGTTCAGGCTCATTCAAGCGGGGGAGAAACGAAGAAAAAATTAGTTAGGTCCACCATAAAGATTCTCAAAGGGTTTAAAGGTTTGATTGGCTTTTTTCAAAAGCTAGGATCTACAACGTTCTCCACGACGATGTTTCCAGAGATCTTCAACATTTCTCTTTTAACCACTGTTAACGCTTTAGCATACTTTGACG